GAGAAACGGGAACACCTAAGGTCTCAAAAAATTTTAATCTTCATAATATTTCAGTGCATGAATGCTTCTATGCAGTAAAACAAAAATAACATTTTTTCTAATTTATATTGAAATATGTGGGCTAACCCCTACGAAAAGATCGAGTTTTTCGATAAAGGCTAAAAATTAAAGTTTAGGCTCTTTGTTGTTGATTAAAAAATACCAAATCAGGTTATAAATTTAAATTAATGGATTTTAAATTTATTTTCATAATACAAGAGCATCGTTTCAAACTTTTGAATGATTAATTGATTTTAACTTCATATATCAATTAATAGGTGGACTAACCCCGATAATTTTTTTTTTTGTTTTGGAAAAACGGGAACACCTAAGGTCTCAAACCTCTTTAATCTTCATATTATGTCAGTGCATGATGCTTCTATACAGTAAAACAAAAATAAAATTTTTACTATTATATCTTGAAATATATGGCCTAACCCCTACGAATAGATCGAGTTTTTCGATAAAGGCAAAAACATAAAGTTTAGGCTCTTTGTTGTTGACTAAAAATACCAAATCAGGTTATAGTTTTAAATTAATGTATTTACAATTTATTTAGATGGTACAAGAGCATCATTTCAAACTTTTGAACGAGTAATTAGTTTTAACATCATATACCACTTAATAGGTGGACTAACCCCGATAAAAATATATTTTTTGGAGAAACGAGAACACCTAAGGTTTCAAACCTCTTTAATCTTCATAATATGTCAGTGCATGATGCTTCTACGCAGTAAAACAAAAATATCATTTTCTAATTTATTTTGAAATATGTGGGCTAACCCGACGAAAAGATCGAGTTTTTCTATAAAGGCTAAAAATTAAAGTTTAGGCTCTTTGTTGTTGATTAAAAAAATACCAAATCAGGTTATAAATTTAAATTAATGGATTTTAAATTTATTTTCATGGTACAAGAGCATCGTTTCAGACTTTTGAACAGTAATTAATTTTAACATCATATACCACTTAATAGGTGGACTAACCCCGATAAAAATATATTTTTTGGAGAAACGAGAACACCTAAGGTCTCAAACCTCATTAATCTTCATAATATGTCAGTGCATGATGCTTCTACGCAGTAAAACAAAAATATCATTTTTTCTAATTTATTTTGAAATATGTGGGCTAACCCTACGAAAAGATCGAGTTTTTTTATAAAGTCTAAAAATTAAAGTTTAGGCTCTTTGTTGTTGATAAAAAAATACCAAATCAGGTTATAAATTTAAATTAATGGATTTTAAATTTATTTTCATAATACAAGAGCATCGTTTCAAACTTTTCAACGAGTAATTGATTGTAACTTCATATATCAATTAATAGGTGGACTATCCCCGATAATGTTTTTTTTTATGAAAAACGGGAACACCTAAGGTCTCAAACATATTTATAGATATATATATATATATGTAGCATTTATCGGAAAAACTTGATCTTTTTGTATGGGTTAACTCACATATTTCAAGAAATAACTAAAAACATTATTTTTCTTTTTCTGCATAGATATATCATGAACTGATATATTTTAAAGAAAAATGAGGTTTCAGACCTTAATTTTTCCCGTTTCTCCAAAAAATAGAGTTTTATAGGGGTTAGTCCACTGATTAATTGGTATAGGAAATTTAAATAAATTTCTCAGTCGAAAACTAGAAATGATGACCATGTACCATGAAAATAAGTTTAGTATACGTTAATATAAGTTTATAGTGTGGTTAAATATTTTAAAACAACATTAAAGAAGCTAAACTTTTATATATATATATATATATATATATAGCATTTATCGAAAAACTTGATCTTTTTGTAGAGGTTAACCCACATATTGCAAGATAAACTTAAAAAAAAAATTGTTTTGGTTTTTATGTATAGATACATCATGAACTGACATAGTATAAAGAATAAAGAGGTTTGAGACCATAAGTTTTCATGTTTCTCCACAAAATAGAGTTTTATAGGGGTTAGTCCACTAGTTAAGTGGTATATGAAATTTAAATAAATTTCTCAGTTGAAAATTAGAAATGATGACCGCGTACCATGAAAATAAGTTTAGTATACATTCATATAAGTTAAGAATGTAGTTAGATATTTTTAAGCAACACTAAAGAAGCTAAACTTTAATATATGTAGCATTTATAGAAAAACTTGATCTTTTTGTAGGGGTTAACCCACATATTTCAAGATAAATACATTATTTTAGTTTTTATGCATATATCATGACCTGACATAGTATAAAACATAAAGAGGTTTGAGACCTTAAGTTTTCCGGTTTCTCTAGAAAATAGAGTTTTATAGGGGTTAGTCCACTGATTAATTGGTATATAAAATTTAAATAAATTTCTTAGTTGAAAATTAGAAATGATGGGCATGTACCATGAAAATAAGTTTAGTATACATTAATATAAGTTTATAGTGTGTTTAAATATTTTAAAACAACACTAAAGAAGCTAAACTTTAATATATATATATATATATATATAAATATAATTTATCGAAAAACTTGATCTTTTTGTAGGGGTTAACCCACATATTGCAAGATAAACTGGAAAAAAAAATTATTTTGGTTTTTATGCATAGAAATATCATAAAATAATATAGTATGAAAAATAAAGAGGTTTGAGACCTTAAGATTTTCCGTTCCTCCACAAAATAGAGTTTTATAGGGGTTAATCCACTGATTAATTGGTATATGAAATTTAAATAAATTTCTCCGTTGAAAACTAGAAATAATGACCATGTACAATGAAAATAAATTTAGTATACATTAATATAAGTTTAGAATGTGGTTATATATTTTAAAACAACGCTAAAGAAGCTAAATTTTAATATATATATATAGCTTTCGTGGAAAAAAACTTGATCTTTTTGTAGGAGTTAACCCACGTATTTCAAGATAAATCGGAAAAAAAAATTGGTTTTTATGCATAGATATATCATGAAGAGACATAGTATAAAGAATACAGAGGTTTGAGACATTAAATTTTTCCGTTTCTCTAGAAATAGAGTTTTATAGGGGTTAGTCCACTGACTAAGTGGTATATGAAATTTAAATAAATTTTTGAGTTGAAAATTAGAAATTATGACTATGTACCATGAAAATAAGTTTAGTATACATTAATATAAGTTTAGAGTGTTGTTAGATATTTTAAAACAACAGTAAAAAAGCTAAACTTTGTTATATATATATATACTAGGCAAAACCCGCCCTACGGGGGGTAAGCACATTATAAGTAATTGAAAAGAATTACAAATTATAATAAACTGATATTTTCAATTATTTTTTGTGTTTATTTTGCGATGAGACTTTAGCAAAATTATGAGAGATATGATTATTAAAAAATAATAATTTATTTAAAAAACACAATCGTATTGTGTGCATAGTTTTATATATATATATTCTTCCAGAGATCATTTATTCTTAAAGGATAATTTTTTTAGGACCATAAAAATTCATACGTTTCGAGCTAATCGAATTAAATACAAAACTACTTATTTACTTAAATTTGTATGATGATAGTGTTCATGTTTTACTGGAATAGGTAAGAAAAGGGTGCTAATTTAAATTGAAACCCAAGTGACATGTTTTGTTATTTTTTTTCTTATTTTCAATATTTTACTAAACATTTAACAAAATACGATGAACTAAGTTTTGTTTTTGTCACTGAAATTTTTCTAAACGTTTACATACAATATTACTTTTTCATGTCACAATAGTTTAAAATAAAAGCATTAATATTAAGAAAGTTGTTAATTTTTAGAACATGTATTTAATTGATAAAATTTACTAATTATAAAAAATAGACATTATTTGATTGGTCACATTATATCTAATACATGTAAAAGTTACCTCGATGTGAGGAAATTAAATATATTTTGAAACAAAGAAATTGTTAATACTATTTACAATAAGAAACAGAGGGAATACTTTATAGTTTTAAAGAAAATACATTATTTAATTTGTTTTTCATAATAAATACAGAACTTAAGAAGAAACTATAATTTATAAAATAAATGAATGATTATTAATGAAAGAGATCGAGTTATAAAACCCGAAATTGTTACTTTGTGTTTGTAACTTTAAGAATTATTATTTTCCATTAAAAAACTATAAGATTTATTACTTTGAGTAATTCAGAAACAGTAATTGTTGATTTTTAGTATTTATTTGAATTGGATTTTAATTTAAATGTTAGTATTAAATAACTCTATTCAATAAATAACAAAATATATGATCAGACCACTATAAAGCCCTTTATACATTTCTTTATATTCGATCAATGGGTTATGTCGACCACTCTGGTGGCTCTCTTCTTGTCAGGAATCCTAGGAATAGTTTCGGTTTCTTCATGCGTATAACCGAGTTGGTAGCGATCGAGATCTAATCTTCAGTTGTGATTCACTTTTTTCATCATTCGTTGATGCCAAAGAAGTTTTGGTTAATTAAAAGTATCCGAGGTATGTTTTTAAGAAACCTCGGTGAAAATAATAAACGTTATATGTAGAGATTTCTCAGATACTTTTGATTAGCCAAAACACTATATATAATATTTTTTAAAAACACATATTGCAATAGAATTGCATTAAATAGGTAAAAAAAGTGAGATTCATTGAATGATGCCATAAAAATTCTTAATTAAAAATAAACAACAAACAAACAAAAAGTCAAACCATGACACATGTCATGTTGAGAAGAGATAAATTAGTGACATGACACTCTCAAATGAGAGAAAAGTCTACTTTATATAATAAGAAAATATATATAGTATTTATTAAAAACTTGATTTTTTTGTAGGGATTAACCCATATATTTCAAGATTTTAAGAATTGATCTACCACCTCGTTCAAAAGAAAGAAAAAAAAACAAGATTGACCTACAATATTACGATATGGATGAAGATCTTACAATCACTCAAATATCAAGCATTGTAACTCAATAACACATTTGCTTTCATTCTTTTATTTTTTTTAAACACGAAATCTCAATCACACTCGAATATATGATCACATCATGTTTCATAGACAAGCCAAGCCAGAATAAATAAATAACACATTCACATCGTGGAAACGACTCTTCGATTCTTGAAAGAGTCCGAACATTGATTCCTAATGGCAGACAGCTCATATGGCGAAGCATCACGAGCCAACCATTGTTCCACCGTAAACTTCTCCTGAGAACAACTTTTCCGACGACTCTCACTCATCGTCACTTCAACATAGTTACAATACCAACCGTGGTGATCGCCAGAGCCGTCAGAAGTCAAATTCATCGCACAAACCGGACCTGATAGACAAGAACCTAAACCGGTGAAAATGTCGAGATTACCCCTCTCATAATAATCGTGAAATGGACCCATTAAACCTCCCCATGACACCAAATCGGATATAACAGCATTTTGACCGTAACTGTCGTAGAGACGGAGGCTCATGACCGAGTCTGAACCGGCTTTCCAAACCGTACCGGTTCTTATGTAAACCGTGAACACGCACATGTCGTCATCATTGTCGAACTATATATGTAAACAATATCATTAATCACAAATGTGTAACGATTTAGTTACTTGTAAGTTGTAATGTACGATTTGTGTGTGCGTTTGCAAGGAAGTGACTTACGGCGAGAGCGGTTGTTATAAGGAGCAGGCAGAGGAGGACGGTGCAGCTGCTGCGTAACATCGTCGTCTTGTAGAACCGCTTATGATATTGGTTTGTAGAGAGACAAATTGTATGAAAACGGGTAATGTTGATTTTGAACACCCTTAAAGTTATCGCAATCGTTTACTTGTTCGCCTAAGCGAAATTATTAATTTCTGGTAATAATATATATTTTCGTGGCTTGAGATCAGATTAAGATTACTAATAATTTATGTGGATATTCCGTTGGTGTAGCTATAATTCGTTGGCACTAATGAACTATTCTACTCATTTTTTCAGCAGCAACTTCATCTCATTGTTTTCTTAATTTTGATATTCATCAGAATTTGGGGTTTTTGGGCATTGCGAGCTTATTTTTTTCATCTTAAAAAAAATAAATGAAATAAAAAATGTAATGTCTTTTTTTTTTTGTGCACCATTAATAATGTTTGTTGTCTTATTATTTTTATTATATGAAGGCATACTGATAAACGTAGCATATGCTGTTTTGTCAAAGTATATGCTCCTTGTGATTTGAACTTGCGATATGCTCTTGAGATATTAATTCTTTGTCAACCGAAAACAATTGTTTATTTTCCAAATGAGTTACTTGTTTAGAAACTCGGAGTCGAGAATTTTATTTCTATTATAATATATTAATAATCCAGCTGAAACCAATTTGGTAGTGTGATCCCACCAAGTTTTTTTTTTTTTTTTTTTTTGCCATCAGATATTTATATATATTAAACAAAATAAAAGTACACATATGGCCATATCAGACCCAAACTATAACGTAGCCCAAAAGTCCAAATGGACACACATACAAACAAACCACCGAGGCCCAACAAAGCCCAAACGCAAACTCCAAACCGAACTACACGTATACAACACGTGTACACCAGATAGGGAAGTAAAGACACACGTTGGCCATGTCTCCACCGCCCAATGCTTTTCGCCGGAAAGCTTCATCGATTCCATCTCAGACCACCGGAATACCTGCCGGGAACAGGTCGAAACCACCATCTTCATATCTTGTCCTTCTTCTTCTATGTTCCAAGCATCGAAGAGCTTCAATCGACTATCGAGATCTCATCCAACGCCTTACGCCACGAACACACAAGAGGAAACTTCACACCGATCTACACCACCATCAACGGAGATCTCCAATCGTCCATCGACGAGATCTCATCCGTTACATGCAGCCACCGAAACCCAGAAAACTTCCACAATCGGGACATCCCAATTTGCAAGGAACCCATCACTATCGCCTTCCAAGTAAAGGAAACAATAGAGCGGTAGTCAAAAGCCGGCAAGGCAAAGCATAGAGAGCTTCTACCCTCCGGAGTCAATAGCCGGCGACGGAGGAGCTGTATTAGTCTCCACCTCCCGGAACCAAAACATCGATCATATAACATCAAACAAGAAGGGGACACAATTCCCACTCCCTCCCATATATACAAACTATAACCAAAAAGATAACCCATAAACCGGACCGACGGTGGCTGTGGAAGCCCACTCCGTCGGCCGGCAGCACTATATTCTCGGCAAAGTCTTTTTTTAGAGAGAAGGCAGAGGAAAATTAATACTAGGGGTTTTTTTTTTTTTTGGTTTTGTGATCCCACCAAGTTAGACGGCCCAGATTAAATTATCCCAATTTCTGAAGCACATCACATATTATTAAATATATTCGAATATTTTTAGTCCTTTCTTTATTAAAAATCTCCCAAGAGGTGATTTGTGAACCATTGAAGATTCTATCAAATCAGAATCTGATATCGTTTTAAAGACACCCACTTGTGATGCATACTTAATATGCCCTGACCTGAAACTAATGGTTCAAAGCTAATTTTATTCAAAAAATTATTTAGTGAGAAATAAAGTTTTATACTTTTTTAAAATTGCCTTTACAATATATATATAATTAAATTAAAATATATATAAATATAGTTTTATGAAAATATGAGAATTTATTTATATAACCTGTTTTGTATTAATTTAATTATATTTAAAACTTTAAAATTATTTGAATTTATTTTTATAATATTTATATTATTTTATTATAATATTTATATTATTTTATTATAATATAATCAGTCAATCTCATACTTGATAAATATTTGCAGATTTATGAAATGATCTACAAAAACTAAATATAAAACATAATTCATAGTTCAGTGTACCATATAATCAAATAATATTAATATCGAATGAATTTTAGTAGTGTATTTTTCTTATCATATTCAATGTACTAAATTATCTTTTAATATTCTTATTTAATATAAACATTAATATATGAAATTATTAAATTGTTTTACAATCTTATTTTAATATATTATTATAATAAGTTGAAATATGATGTAAAATTCATGAATATATCTTATTAAGTATATGTAATTATTTAATTTTATAATTTATAAAATAACTTATAAATGGATTGAGTTGTTTTGTATTTATTAATTGCTATAGTAATTTAATTATGAATATGAATTATATATATATTATACAGTATTATTTCCTTTTTAAAATAAAAACGGATTAATATTCGTTTATAATAATACTTAATATTAATTACGAATTTTATTAGTTAAATTAAAATATTAAAAATGATATCTATATTTCCATTTAAATAAAAATATATTAAATATATTATTAAAATGTAATCTTAGAAAAAGTACCAAATAATAACTTTTAAGCTATCTTATTTTAATAAAAATTAAAGAACATATTAAGGTAAAATGTATACTTGATAATAACTTAGGCTTTTAGCATAAATGAAGATAAATTAGTAATATTATGCTATAGAAGCAGTATATTGCAGAAGTTGTATGCTCACATTAAACTATTTAATAAAATGATAGGTAAAGCAAGAGCAGCATAGTATTTAAAATTATTATAAAATTAGTATATATATATATATATATGTACTATATTTATTCTATATATTACAAATATTTATATTTTATTTAATATATTTATAATATATATATTAATACATAAATTAAGAAACTATGTTTAGAAATAATATTTCACATTTATAATTTAATTTAATCTACATATTTTTATTTAAAAAATATTTTAAACGTGGAGATATTATTATTTTAAACAAATAATTATAAAATTATTTTTAAAATATAATTTTGGATTTAAACATAATTTTATGATATTATTTAATCAAATAAATTAATTATATATTTTTCTTAATTTTATAAATTATGAGTGCAAATGCTATACTAAAAACTTCATATGAGAGCATTGAGCAAAAAAACATTTGTAGAATATTAACATTTAGTAAATACCTTTTTAAATGTAATTCCAACATATATTGATTAGATAATAAAAACATGATGCTTATGATAATCTTATGTCATTCAAGACCCAAGTTAGCTGTAAACAAAATAATAAAAAGTTCAATAAATGAAATAATCCCATTATGCTTTTTGGTAAATAGATTTTTAATGATTATGTTTCAATGGAATAATGTTTTGAAATCGATTTAGACACTGAACCAGACAACTTTATAAAGGATTTAAGTTAAATTTATAACTCAACTACAACACATATTAAATCCAATCTAAAATTTAAAAGTTAACTTTAATGTATGGAAACATCAAATGCATCGCGTATAAGTCATAACTTATACTAAACTATTATTACGTAGTTAGATTTTGTAGGCAAATATCTCTTTTCCTGATTTTTTTTTTTTTTGAGTATTCTGATCTTTTGAGAGGTTTTTTATTTTTAAAACTATCTTTTGAGAACTTTAATGCAAACTTTTTCAAATATTTTTGCAACCATTCGGATTTGGGCGTGGTAGTGCTAGATTTTATCGAACCAAAATTTACTAAATACCTATTGAATGTAGAATTTATGTATCATAGAAATCCAGATTCGAATGAATTCTATCCGAATCCGACCTAAATATCCTATTTCCAAGACAAAAAAAATTTACACACTGTAAACTCTTTGGTAGAGATAAGTATACAATGAAGAAGACAAACTATAGTGATAACAAAAAAAAAAGTTAATATATAGTAATTAATAATAGGATAAGGCATTATTAATAATTTTATTGCTAATATGGGGATGTATACATTTGATTATTGCGTTGGATTGTAATCACTTTTCTTGAGCAACGGATTGTTATCACTAGTCATTACAAATTATTATAAGTAACTAGTCGATAAATTCCAACTTCTCCTACCCATAGGGATAAGGATTAGCTACCGACGAGTCAAACAATAGTAATAAATTTGAGTTTGCTTTCTTTTCATGGCCGCATGATAAAAGTATATATGGAAATTTAGCTTATAACATGAAACGAAATGTTTATTTGGCAAACATCAGACAAATGATGAGGTAAATAAATCTTTTGATCAACCATTCTTCAGTCTACTACTATATCATTTATCTCACCAAAATTTACTATCAAATATGTAGAAATATACTGATTACAAAACAAAACCCGAACAACAAAATAAAACATATCTGAATTTATGTTAAATCCTAGATAATACTATAAAATTTCTTAATTCATCCGATTACTTCTAGAAAAAATTGTACTAAAACAAAGGGCATATAGCAAATGATATGAAAAAAAGAAAAGGAAATCACGTAATGACAAAAGAATCCAACTTTTAGAATATTATTATGATCTCTCTTTAAGCAGAGTATGTGTGGGCCGACAAGAAGTGGCAACTCATTTCCCATCTTCTTCCATCTTCCTTTTTCTTTACAATTTTAAATTATAACTCCAGGACTAATTAAAAAAACACTACTAAACATTTATAGATCATGTATTAAATTAGATATTGCTGTTTATTTTAATTAATACGGTGGTTTGTCCTCTAGTCCAATATTCGCTAAATACAAAATCCATCACTGTGTTTCGATTTGAAATCAATTAAAATAATATCATGTTATGGACCAAAAAGTAACTGAGAGTCACAAAGACGTAGGAAAGCCGTGGGGGTGATAAGGTGGGCCCATATCCACGACCGAAAGTACGTTGAAAGGGAGCGATACCGTTAGGGTTTGGCAGTTGTTTCTGTTTACCTGTCTATTTACATTTATTTTTTTTCCTCTTTTCTATTTTCTACATATGTAATTCAGGATAAATCTGAACACATATATGCACATCGAAAGTAAAAATAAAGTTCATCAATTATTCCTGGAAACCCATGGTTTTCTTTCTCCTCATCCTTATTCCACTTGATAGGGAACTGTTATGGTCAGTGGCGGAGCCAGAATTTTTTTGTACTGGGGTCGAAATTTTTTTCTTTCTAAAACATAATTTATAAACTGTCAGAAATACTAAATACTCTACGATCACTCATATATTTTATATTTTTTATAAAACAAATACGACTATCACTTAGAACTAATCACCGATATGATTTTATAATAATGTTTTGATGATTTATTTTCTATCTTAGAAACTATTGTCCATTGAATAAGATTTTCTATTCAGTTAAACTGATATGTGAGATTTTCTATCTGATAAATTAAAATATTAGTTTGTTTCTAAATATAAAACTAACTGTTGAAATATTTAGATCATGAACATAAACCCTAAATGTTCTTTTCATAAAATAATATAAGTAAAGGAACAGAGTATGACAAGAAAAATTAGTCTGAAATTTTTATAAAAAAAACAAACCTCACCCTAAAATTTAGAGATAATTAGTTGGAATAAAAGTTTAGTAGATAGTATAAAGTATACATAAATATATTATTTGGGTCTAATATAATTTGGACTTAACACAAATATGTAACTAGAATTTATATTAGTTTTTTTGCTAAATTTTAAGTTCAAATTAAAATGTTTAACAAATAACATAAACCTATTGTTATATAATTAAAATTTATCTTTAATTTAAATGTTTTCTAATTATTTTTGTGGGTTTAAATTGTTTTGTGGGGTCAAATTTGTTTTTTAATGGGGTCAATAGAATTTTTTTTAAACAAAAACAAAGAATTTTTAAAATATAGTGGGGTCAGATGACCCCCCTTCCCATGCTATACCTCCGCCCCTGGTTATGGTCCAAGAATATTTGTTATTTTCAATGCAAGATGTTGGTTTTCTTTCGTTCATAGGTACGTTTGTTAGGATTCGATGTTCTTTTTAAGCTATTTGTGTACATATTTTTCACTCATAGACTTTCGATACTGTGACGTGATTAATCTACTAGATAAAATTGAGATTTGTAGATATACATCTATTATTATTTTTTGATAAGATGATATTTTGAGTTTTAGTTGAGATTTGTAGATATATAACATTGGCTCCTTATAATATCATTTTATTTTAGTTCAAAATGAAGTAACTCTGAAAATGATATTGAGGGTCGAGGCGTGTTAGCTCCATAATGCTTCGACAGATAAAGAAAATATAGGAAAACGATGAGAACCACACCAAGCCAACGACGTAGAATAAGCTTCTTTACATGTAATCACACTCTCATTTCTCACTTCATTACAACTCTTTACAGCTCATATCTTTTACTTTCTTCTTTTATCTCCTAAGAAATCATATCAACTTGACAAAATATGCCAAAAAAACACATGTCAATTTACACGTTGAAATGTCCCCAACTGAAATTGATCCCCTCTTTTATTTCCACTAATTCAAAGCTTCCAATTCAACATTTATTTTTCAGAAAAATAAATTATATGAAAATAATTTTGACTATAGAAAACAATAATGTGCTAATTAAATATTTTTCAGAAAATAACTTATATGACATTTACACAAACCAAATTGTCATAAAAAACTGAGAATTGATCTCACTAGTGAAAACAAGTGTATCAATGCAATAAAGAATAAATTCGATTATGATAGCTTAAGTTGATTTTTCCATTAAAATATTTTCGGTACAATGTTGTCAGAAA